GTCCAGGGAAGTGTGTTTGCAGCCACGATGAATCCATCACAAATGTGTTGAGGATGTTTAAGAACTCTGCTCGTGTAACAGCGCATTGATTTGAACTAGAGAGAGAAATCAAAACAATTGTTTATAAATACTCTGGGGTGGATACACGATTTGGCGGAAGGGTGTTTGTGAGAGTCCACAGAACCTAAGGTTGGGGCTGAGGATATGTACCTCAGGGTGCCTGGAAATTGCACTCTCATACTTTAACAATCTTAACGGTAATGTTCATAATGAGAAATATAATATTTTAACAATACAATACAACATTTATTTTTCTCAAAACAATTTAGGGGTGCGATCACACCGTCGGCACCCCCTGTGTTTCCGCTCCAGATACTGGGTAACTTTTTACAGTATTAATATTATGCTGTCCTACAGTATGAGGCTTAATCCAGGTTCTCACTGCACTAGACGGTAGTCAGTTGATGCGATTCTTTAGAGAAAGCATGCGCATGCAACAAATCATTTTTAATTACAATCTGTTCAGACTTCCAACGACAACTCAAGCTTAGGTGTGAGATTTACCTGGTGGCTAACCACATGCAGTTCTTGAATGATGCAACAGCCTGTTGAAGCAGACTGTGTTGCCGGGCACCAAACGACTGCTGACTTCCCTTCAGATGGTTCTGTAGGAGCAAATGTACCTGAAAAAAAAAAAAAAACCAGAAGAAACAGTTATTGAAAAAACTAAAATATATTAAAGATCGATATCAATAATTTCATTGTAATTAGACAGCTACTTAATAATGTTATACATTTTTTCAAAAACCGATATTTCCTCTTATTATAATGAACAAAATTAAAGTTCATCCTACAATTAAAGACCATGTTTAGGACCTTCAAATTATGGGTATTCTTGGTCTCCAGTTAAAGGGTTATCTTTATGATAAAGGATCGATGATTGTTATTTGGTTGTTAGAAAAAGTGGTCTTGAATTAGAGGGGTCTCGGAACTAGAGGGGGATCTTGAATTGGAGGTGCACTGTATAATATTGTCTTCTTTATTAAGTATTAGATTTTATTATTTTTAAACTTTTTAAACAAGCATTGATGAGCACACAATAGACGTAGATGTGTTTTAGGGTAATCTGTTAAATTAGGCTGATCATTAACCACTCTGCCACATCTCCACTTCTAACACCTATGATATATAAAAATGAATAATATAAATGCTATAAATAAAGTATATGAAAAAAAACTTTCACACCTGCAAAAGTACTCCATGGATCTCATTTTGGTGATGCTTCTGTGTCTGGCATTTTGGTAGGGAGTTGATGAGAAACTCCACCATCTTCAAGACCTCACCAGATGGAATCAAAGAAGCTAGAGATCTTGCTGCTATCGTTCGTGTCTTGTAAATAGCACTTGAACCACATCTTTATTGAAAAAGTTGTATGCATTTTAACGGTACGGCACTAGCCTGAATAGTGAGAGATTGCAGGTTTTGAATCCTGACTCTGACAATTGTTTTCTTTACATCATTTGAAGAGCTATGGTTAATAAGAATATAAGCAAATAGTACAGCTCCGCATAGTAAACTATAGGAAAATTATTATACGAAGGTTAGATTTAATGCTCGAAAAAAATTTCCTGAGGGCCTGCAAGTGCGTGCGTACATTTAGCTATGCGTATGCCGATTTGTGTTCCTGCAGTACGCGTTAAGTATACATCAGCAGTACAGTACGGATACGATGAATAAACCTTGTAATTTTTATTGTGTTAGAAGAACTTGTTTGTAATGCTATTTTGATACATTTGTCAAAGAAATAAACATTTCTTAAAGCATTCGAGAGAGAATACAGTCACTGACATTTTGGTCAGTGCAGGCAGGTAAAAATCGTGCAACGATTTCCTATCTACGCTACATTTGGAATAATTACATACACATTTAGAGTTGCAGGGATGATGTCATGATTGACTTATAAAACATCATATGTTCCCACATTCCAGGACAGTTATTATTTATAATTTGTACATGCATGTTATATTCATGATCAATGTATAGAAGTTGTCTTCCAACTCCAGACAGATATACATACTAACACACGCTCACACACCCCCTTATACACAGAAGAGACGTATACACTCAAAAATAAAACTTCCTTTTAAGAATAGCATTACTAACCTCTGGACCATAGAAATGAAGGGTGCAAGACTTAAACTAGAGTCTGCTCCATCAGTAGGTGATGGGTACAATCTTGATAGGAGGAGCAAGATGGCAAACACGCTTGGCTGAAGGTATCCTGCGTCCATGCCGGTTTGGGATCCAATGCAAGCAGTTAACTCTTCAAGCAGGAATCCATGGAGACTCGGAAAGCGAGTAAAGAACTCTCGTCCTGTCATGCTGCTGTAAAAAAATATTACATACTATTAATATATTATTCTAAAACGCCAATCCTCAGCAGCTGCAGTAGACTCGATCAATGGAAAAATGAAGATGTCAAAAAGGCAACAATGGTTAAAGTGTCTGTGAAAAACTGTGTAAAATCAAGTGGGATTGGACAGGCCATGTAGCTCAAATGGACCATAACAGATGGACTAAAAAGACAACAGTATGGACGCCATACAGAAACAAAAAAAAAACAAAAAAAGAGAGGAAGGCCAAACAAGAGATGGATATTTTCCTGACAGAGCTTGAAGTGAACTGGGCAAATCTGGCAAAGGATAGACGAGAATGGAGTTTGAGGCAATGGCCAAATAAAGATAATGAGAACGCCAATATCTATGGCAAATACAATGTTCAGTGGAAATGATATTAGCATTAATTAAAGTGCTCATATACTCACTATCCATAATCGTGATTTGAAACCCAATATTGCAGCTCTCATTCCATCTGCAATGAACGAATACACATCCTCCCCAAGCCTTGTGTCTCTAAACAATGCACACATAATGTTCAATGCCTGTCTCTTATACACATCTGATGTGTATAAGAGACAGCTCTACCACCAGTGGTTGCGCAGATATGACGACCCTCTAGCTATGATTTTTTTACCCTGACCTTTTGACCTTTCGCCACATTTACAAAATGTGTTACCAAGCCAAAAATTATTCTTGGACGCCCTGAACCAATTTCTGAAGTTAAATTCCCTGGACCTCAAAGTGCAATCAAAACATGGTCTGGCTACTAGGTAAGCATAAATACAAGAAGTAAATTGAAAAACACTTTAGTTTCAACACAATGGCAAAATGATTTTGGAAAAAGAACTTATCGTTCAGTTAAATCATGGAATAATCTATCATCAGACCTTCGTAGCAATATTCAATTACTTTCCTTAGTATGTAGAATTCCATGTTACCAATATAATTTATCTTGGTAACATGTGTTACTGATATAATTTATCTCGGAAATGTCTTATTACGACTTTTTTCCATGTTGCCACAATAATTATTATGGAAACTCAGTAACTCGGAAGGTCACTTTAAAGCTTGTAATAAATTACCATTCCTTGCCTTGGTGCAACATATTTAATACATAGAAC